TCAAACTATTACATCTGTGGACATGCCACATAAAGCTCTCATAACTTCTATTTTATATTTATGTCATTACTCAACCACATTACCATCTTATTATCAAATGATATTCAATCCAATTCGTAACTTGTTGGACAAAGTCAAGAAAAAAATTAGAGCAAGCATAAATACAAAAATAAACTAATACTTCCTTATTATAACAATATTCAAGTTCCCAAGAAGAAACATTGTTTCATTAATTCGCGTATGTCTCATTTTCCATCGATTTTTAACTATTTCAAAAGAAATAATAAGGGTGTTTTTATTTGATTTTTTTTTATTTTAGAATATTCGAATTCTTTTTCCTTGATTGAAGGTGGTCCTCTGGGGTATTCACAATATTTCATAAATTTACGTGCTTATAGCCTTTTCTCACAGTCTTCTATTTATGTATTCTGTTCTCTCAAAATTGTTTGACAATAATGTAATGATAATAATAATAATAATAATAATAATAATAATAATAATAATAATAATAATAATAATAATAATTACTATTATTATAATTGTTATTACTTAAATACACACGGGCGTTAACTGAACAGCATTGCGAACTTCACTGTCTGTCTGGAAATGCGGTTCAATCACGGCTTTCAACTCCACCCATTAAATTCATATGCAGTAGGTGACAAAACACACCGCAATGATGATATATAAGGGGTAGGTTACATACCCTAGAATTTTTCTTAAAACATATCCAAAAATTATTAGTATAATTTTTATTTTTATATAACATTATGTCTGCATGTCGAAAATCAGGTTTATAAAATTTCCATATTCATTAAACTTTTTTGTTAACCTCCTCCCTTCATGCGTATGCGGCGAAAAGGTTGGCAAAATTTCATATGTGACAGTGATGGTACGGGTTCACCAGTTACATATAAAGAAGTAAAGTATTATATATGTATTAGATATCATCACAACGAGTTAATAAAATGTCCACAATTGCTTTACAAACTATTCAGCCAGTAAATTTCGTCATGGAACGCATTCTGTTTAGATTTATATTTATTCAGTCCAAAAACAGTAAAAACTGTATATGTCTTAGGGGGGGGATTATCTGCGCCCGTTTTCTAAGGTTCCAGAATCCTTTCCCATCATTTTAACTATAAATGGTTGAAAGATGAGTGAAAGTTAAAATAAATAAATAAAAATACTTTTTAAAAATCGCAAGATAAGCAATTTTTAAAAAATAGTTATTTTCGTTTCTGAGTTATAGAAAATTTATTTGCATCGGTACACGAATTGAAAGTATGATGTTTCTGCATTGCTAACAATATAGCAACTCGCCCTTATCTCGACTCTTAACATTACAAGCAAAAGGAGAGTTCAATAAAACGTGTGCATAGTGAAGCTACATTTACGTCCAGAAGCAAAACAAAGGGCCATCAAGGGCATTTGCTCAATGGATCAGGGAAACTGGACAAAAACCTGATCGAGATGGTGGTCATTGACCCGGAAGCTGAAGTCCGCTAGTCGATCGCCCATTGCGTTTCACACGCGGGTCGTTTCTGATTGAACCGGAACGTAACAGAAGAATGTTTGTTCCTATGTGGTCTGTGTGGTCCGGTGGAACACAAGGCGAGTCTGTCGAACGTTCCCACATGCCTCCCCTGGCGATTGCGTTGAGTTCGCAGAAGACACGAGTAGCTGTGAACGGCCGTTAAAATGTGAGCGAGATACACTGAACGAGACAGTGAGCAAGCGCTGCCACGCATATAGTCGCTGTTCACAAAACATCGATTTGAAACCTTATCTCAATATGAGTAATTGAAATTGCCGAACTCACGAGCAAAAATGTGTTACACATGCGTAAGTATCCATTGATTCTTGTGTACTTTCTTACACGAAATGTAAACGTACTTTTTTTGTGGCTTAGACTGTCTGTTATACGGTAGGAAAAGTTTTTGAGACGGCATTCAATTTAATCGTCTCCCTCCTCTGTGACGTCACCGAGTGGAGCTCTTCTAAACGTGTCGGCACACGTTCGGATTGTGCTCGCGCTGCCCACCGCCCGTTCCGCGCCACCTGACGCCGACCGCCATGGAATGCGATTTTCCAGCTGCTCTCACGAAATAAACTCGCCGGTTTTATCGAGTGAATCGTAGAAATTGACTGTGTCAGCTACAGCGGTGTTACAAGAACTAGATAAGCATCCTCCCGGGTCAGATTGACATTCAGTTGCACTAAATTTTCCATTCTCTCTGTGTATTGGAATTTTTACAAAAGTTGAACAGTTAATTCATTTATAATAATAATAATTATTGACTGTTATTATTATAAATATTATTATTATTATTTCTATATCAAGACTTGTACTTTTCTTAGCAATTGTACCATTGCAAACAAATAATGGAAAAAGATGAATTAAATGAAAATTTTTCATTATCTGCTACGACTTCAACACAAAATAGTTATTATTCGCGCACGTTTTCTTGAGCCCCAGCTTCGCTAGTTGCGAGAGGAGTGGGGAGTTTGGTTTTTTTTCACAAAAGGAATTTTACATCAAATTTGTTGTTCATTTTTCGAAGCAAAGTAGTTTCTGTAACACGGGGGAAACATTTCTTGTTCAGATCATCAGATTTTGCCTACAACGCTCGTTGCTATAATTTATTCTTAATTCAAATAATGTTGGCAAAGGAGTGGGGATAGGTATTACGGAGCTCAAGAAAACGTGCGCGTATAGTATCGTACTCTTGAACCAAATAACTTCCTGTATCCAGATAGATACATATCTATACACAATGTATATAGATAGATAGATAGATAGATAGATAGATAGATAGATAGATAGATAGATAGATAGATAGATAGAGTGAATTTTCGTGGGTTTTGCTGGCTACGTGACAAATTACTGAAGGGTTGGCACCAGACGTTCTTTTTTATACTACGCATTTATTTTAATTCAACGGATTGTTAAAATATTTTAATAAGTTGCAGGATGTTCCAAATACATATTTGAGAGATAATTCATTCCACCAACGACGATAAAAAGAACAAAAAGTATGCTACGCAAGCGAATTAAAAAACCTGAACCTCGCAGAACCTCGAAATATTTGTACAATAAAATTTACTACTTTATAATTTGTGTAATTTAATTGCACGGATCTAACAATAAGTTTCTCTGTGTTGACGAACGTTGTACTAATATTATAAAAAGATTATTATAAAATATTATACTGTGTCTTCACGTTTTTATCTGTTCAGTAATGCCAGGCGTGTACGATGTTACGCGCAGTCCAGGCCCTGTTATCGGAAGAGGTGGCTCAGGGCATCAACTGATAAAACTGCAGTGTCCCTGACCGGCAGGTCCCAAATTCGAGTTCTGACAGCGGTAGAATTTTCGACACTAGTTAGCTAGGTCTTAATCAGTCACTGTCTGGGGGAAAATTCTAGCGGCCGACTACTCTAATCGGTAGTTTTCCGTGGTTTCTCCGATCAACATCAGGCGAATGCCGATGCAGTAGCTTAACGAACGAGCCCCCGCGCGATTGTTCCTTCTTCTTTTTCCTATACATACCCCTCACACACACAGTTACATGAACTACACTACCACACATGTCGAGAGTCCTCTCTAGAGCTTAGAGCTTGCCCCGCTGGTGGGAAATATCTGGTAGGATAAAACCCCGGTCGCCGATGGAAAAATTCTTGTTTTAGAGATACATATATATATATATATATATATATATATATATATATATATATATATATATAACAATTATCAATATTTTTATATCCTTGTCTGTAGAATTAGCACACTTATAAACAAAGCTACAAAAATATTTTGTAGTAAATTACTGATATGTTTTTTATATAATTGGCTAATGGTGGAGCAAAGTGTACAACCAATTATAACATATGATGGACTTATTTAAATCTAAATATAAGAGGAAATATGCATGATCAATTAATTCTATTTTGTATTTCACTAAATCTCAAGTACAATAAAAAATGCTAATTATTATCTTCGGTGGGTAAAAACATTGATACAATTCATGCAGACATATATTGGATTAAGATGAAGAGGCCATGAACTGAAACTGAATTTGCGTTTGCTAGTTTAAAAATATAAGTAGATTAAACATAATTTCTTTACAAATGTATTCATTAAGCGGTTCTCCTACACAGCCAGAACAAAGGAAGAAACAAAATAAAGACAATTCCAAGCAGATGAGACAAATTCCGTCTTAACTTCATAATTTTTTTTTTTTAACATCTGAATTAGGCACTTTGTTTGAAATGTAGGCTCCAACTCACGCCCCACATTAGCAGTGCTTCTTGATAGTCGATCGTGCAATACTCGGTGAGTTGAGTAAAAGTCTGTATGTCTCAAGATTTAAACACATACTTTCCGAGGCCGGACGCCTCGATATTCTCATAATCAAGGTCTATAACGGGGTTGTCCAACTGGCGGCCCACGGTGCCATTTATTGTGGCCCGCGATGCCATTTATTGAATTCTCGGCTATCCGGGAGACGTCACTGCCCTGAGGAAGCCTGCGAAATGTCAGGCGAAACGTCGGCACCCCAGCCAACGACGCGGCGTCTCCCGGATAGCCGAGAATTCATGGATTCGAGCCGCGTAAACAGATGCCATTTATTGTCGCCCGCGAAATGTCATTTTTTTTCTTTTCACTTTAGAACAACGTCGTTTAGTATAGAACTTTATTTTAGGTCATGACAAAACGAAATGAGCCATTTTTATATGCCTTTTTTTTGCATTTTTCAATTTCGTCTAATAAAGTCATTTTCTCCTCTTTGTACGTTATTTTTTAGGCATTTTTCACAGACTTCGAAGATTTTAACATAATTTTAATGGTACTTGCTTCAAACAGTATTTACGAGGTGCAACAAATATTCACCACAGAGTGCCTGAGTAGTAGACGTCTGCATTTTCCGCGATTTCTACCGACCAGCGCTCGCCCGTCTCTCTTCTCTCGGGGCCACGCGCTCGGGCGTTCCTCGCACGAGGTTGGGGATTTCCGGTCGCCGGTGACAGGCGGAGACTCGTCGGCCACATCCGAATGTATATCGGCTGTTATGTAAGGGGAAAGGAAAGGAGTGTTGATTGGCTCTGAAAATAGACCAATAATTTTCATTTTACAAAATTGAATTTATACATGAAATGTAAATAATTTAAAAGAAATTATAGTAATTCCCAAAATCTACTCTCCGATGCACTGGACAACCTGCAATAGATCTACTGAAGTTCTACCTGTCCAACTTCTCTTCATACTTCATCTGAAGTAGATGCTGGAATTTTAAAAATACGAAGTAGTATATTACAAACTATTAAATTATCAACAAAGACATGTAGCATTCCTAACCAATCAGTTTCCTAACCAACCAGAAGAAATACTAAATTTAATAACTCTCAAGCATGTAACTCGCAGAATGTGACAAATCAATTGCGATGCTGACATAAAAGCTACCTTAAATTGCCTTACCCATGAAGTTAAAAATAAACTAGAACAATACAAGTTTTCTAAATTTAGAAACTATATATCTCAACTTCCCTCTGGTCTGCAATTAATACATAGCAAATGACAAAAACAATTACTCTCATTAAAAAATAATAATAACACATTCGCAACTAATGATTCTGAAAAAACATAGCTACTGGCAAATACTTGTGTACCCTCCCTTACTAACAATATCCCTTCAATAACAAATTCCGACGGCCTTTACACAAAACCTAGTTCAAACATTAGCTAACCCACTTCATGCAGTTGCTGAAATTAAATGAATTTTTCCATCTGCTATCAAGTACATAATTTCCAAACTTAAAGACAAGAAATCGCCAGGCTAAGATCTAATTTCTAATATAGTAATTAAACATTCACCATATCCCATCTTCAGTTCACTAACAGCTACATACAATGCTTGTTTTAGATTCAACTTCTTTCCAAACTCCTGGGAAACCGCCCTTAGTTTTACCAATTCCTAAACCCAATACAGATCAAACTATACCTGAAAATTGTAGGCCTTAGTTTGCTGCCAAACTTTTCAAACATTTTCGAAAGAACAATTTTAACCAGGATTAATACATTTGTGAATTAAAATAGAATTCTTTCTAGTAGGGTAAATTTGATTTTATACACAATTATTCTACTACACATCAATTGCTACGCTCAACAGACTACATTGGCACTAATTCCAAAAAATTACGACATAATAGTGTTATATTTCTAGATTTTAAAAAAAGCATTTGATTAAATCTGGCATGATGGACTGCTTTTTAAATTGAGAAATATTGGCTTCCCAAATTAATTACTACAAAATATAATAAAATCCTTTCTAATTAATCGAAGATTCAAAGTACAAATTAATCACACTCTCTCAACTGATCACAATATACAAGCTGAACGTTCCCAAGGATCTTCTTTATCACATATGCTTTTCAATGTTTTGATTTCTGATACGCCTTATCTCTTACATTCAGACATTGCTCTTTTGCGGATGAGACTGCAATATTTACCACTCATAGGGATCTTTTTTTAGGGTGACATTACCTCCAAGATGATCAAAATCTCATTCCTTTGTTAAATGATTGGCAAATAAAAATAAATCATCAAACATCTCAAGCCAAAATATTCTCCTTAAAACGGATTTTTCTTACTTATTCCCTAATAATTAATAATCATGCAGTCAAATGGATTCCTCCTGACACTCCTGTTAAGTATCTTGGACTTCAAATAGACACTAAACTAACTTGGAAAATCCACTTCACATCAATAGCTAATAAAGCACATATGAAAATAATAAAACTGTATCCATTCATAGACTGAGCATTAATAATATTTATATACATTTATCAATAGACTCAGCTTGCCCAATATGAGGAGGTTTCGCTAAAAGTAACCTTCGGAAACTGGAAGTACTGCAAAACAAAGTCTTAAGAGAAGATTTAAAAGCATCTGTATCAGAAATGACCAAATTTTAAAAGAATTATCTATAGAACCTATAAAAATTTGGAAACTTAGACTTTCTTCCCATTTATACTGTTCTCTTTCATCTTGCCCAGCGTCTCGCCTGTACACTCTAGAGAAAAGTGTCAATCTCTTTCCACGAATCAAATTAATATATTCTAAATAGTTACTAGATCCTCCCTAATTAGCTGTAATACAGGTTCATACATTCCTAAATTCAAAAGGTATTTTGTACACCAAATATGTTTTGTATTTTTTGAATGTCCCTACGTGGGTACTCATAGTAGTTAGTTTCTAATATTATTGTTTTGAAGCATTGTTCATGTACGATGAAATGAAGTTCGAAAACCGATTATGCATACTATGTAACCTGAAGACCTTTGAAAGGCATAAGTTTGTCGAAGAAGGATAATAAAACAATTAAATAATAATAATAACAATAATAATAATAATTCCAGATGTTCGTCAAGGAAAAGTAATGGAAGGGCAGGACGTCTCTACATTCAAAGAATTACATTTTAGATCTCTTTCGTATGTAAATTATGAATATTAAACACCATTAGAACATTTATTTTTTCATTTCTAGGCTTATACTAAATGAGAATATTAGGCATTTTTGTATTGCCCAAGAATGTTATAAAATCATTCATTTTCCCTATTTTTAATGGTGTAAATACAAATAATCTTCTGAATTTAGATTTAACTGCAATAAAATATATTAGTGCTTTTCCTTTCCCAATTAGTATTTTTGTTTACATTTTCTTGCTATGATAAAACGTTTTCACGCAAGGACAAATAGTACCAATATCAATTTTGTTTTGCGAGTGCGATTTTATTATATGCTCATGAAATAATGAACAAATTGTATTTATTAAATATGCCTTATATTCAGATTTGTAAGAAACTTAAATGACATTACAATTGGTACAAAACGAATTATTTTCTCTTAACCAATATTTTTGTGCTTTTATATATAATAACGAAATGTAAACATTTTGTCTTATATAATACTTTCTTTGTTTTTTGAAAATATACTGCAGGTCCATATTTACATTATTATAGATTCCCATTACTAAACCTTGTTTTTCAACATTGTTGATTACTCAATGTAAAAAGAAAGGGTGAAAATTATTTTAATTTTCTATTTTTATTCCATTGTATTGTTATAGTTAAAAAGTTTATTTTAAATGTATATTCAGTCTCTTTGTTTGCTTTTAATTCTTTCAAAATTTATATTGCTTTGTCTCTAAAATTATTTCCAATGAATCTATAAATTGTTACTTTTCAAACAATTAATCGTGTAAATGAACTGGTATTCCCTTTCGATTATAATTAATTAATTACAGTTAATGGAGTTTTGTTGTCACTATGCGCGGCGACTTAAAATCCCGTCCGTGGGTTGAGCTACCGAGCGTGCGACGGTGGTCAAACGCTCAGGCGCTCCGCGAAGCTTACATGTGCGGCCATCTCCTTCCCCCGACCAAGGTCCCTCCTTCCTCCGAGCTTCGGCGCGGGGCCTCGCGAGTCTCGAGCGGTTGTTTTCGCCTGTGTGAGTAGCCTATTCGATTTCTTCACCCAAATACTATTGTCATGTCAGTACGGTTGCCACTTTCGAGATGGAAGCCACTCGGAGGTGATTGATTACCGGGGGGGGGGGGAGGAGGTGAAGGTGCAGTAAAGTAATATTCAAATTCACAATCTAACATCTAGGCTAGATTTGACTCTAGTCAACACATCTACTACAGATGACGCCAAATTAACATGTTTTTGACCACGCCGCTAAAATCCGTCGAGCGAAATCCGTAGAGTATCCATGATGCTGATTCGTAATTGATGATATAAGAACAAAGATACTGAAAATACAGATGTTTTCTTATGCATATATCACTGACATCTGACAACCCTTGCAGAAAAAAAAACAATATTTGTCTGCATTTTCTGTAATTTACTGATATTTATATGAAATCATTCGATAAAATAAAATTATTCAACACAGATTAAACACTTTTTTTAAAAAGTGAAAAAGGTATTACATTTTGTATATAACCCGGAGATTTTTAGCAGTAACCCGGAGCCCGGAGATTGTCTATGAAACCCGGAGTCTCCGGGTCAAACCCGGAGAGGTGGCAACCCTGCATGTCAGCAGTTGTGAGTACAATGTAATCTCAGGTTCTTGTGAAGCTTATTGGTGCCATTGTCAGTTTGATCTATTTCGTGATAAATAAAGATCGAGATTGTCTTTAACAAACAGTCGAAACCCAAAGTTCACGAACTGAGTTTATTGAACTAAAGCAAGAAGCCTCGACTTCATCAACAACATATCCAACAGCTTCAGTTGTTCATCTGAAGGGGTTTTGATCAAATTGTTTACGTCATTTTTCTTTGTTTTTATGGCATTTTTAAAGCGCTGTAGGAGCATTTTATGGATCTTTTTTGACAATTTTAACGCGTTTAACGCGTAATTCTGAAGAACGAAAGAATTGAAACCTTTTAACACAAAAGCTAGGAGAGTATGTATTATATTAAAATGGTAACCAGCATTCTTTTTCAAATAATAAACATGTAGCTCTGAACCAACATAATATCAGGAGTGTATCCCGAAAGTATTTTATGAGGGAACTTTTTGTGCAAAAATGTATAAAATGTTTATAAAATTAACCCACCATTCCCTCCATTTATTACTATCACTTATGAGGGAGGAAAAACTATGAATTGTATCTGTAGTGTAAAATGTAAGTACTTTTATATATCTTATTGCCCACCTATTGGTAATTTCCTGCATCGTATAAATACAAGAATGATAGTTTTCAATTAGACTTTTATGAACTTTAAATTTTTTTTTTTGGCCATTGGTACTGTCTGAAGAGTAAAAAGGCTAACTTTTACATGTTATACAAAAAATAAAACATTATAGACCTAAAATATAACTTCAAACACACATCATACCCGGTTTCACTGTTACGAAAATCAGCCCAAAACTCTTCCAACAGTTAATAACATTTTCGGGGTTTTCAGAATTTTGTCTTTTTTAGTATCAAGACGACAGTGTTGAATGCGACAGTGTTGAATTCAATATGTCTCTATTTTTGCCAGCAATTATTGCAATGGAATATGTAACTACTTAATAAATAATTAGCTACGCAAC